AATTAAGAATTCAATTCACAAATTTGGGTCATTTCCTATTTCAATAGAATTGGTGTTTTCTTCTCTATTTTTAGTTCTCTCATATTACTATTTTTTCCCTGGAGATGTTATTTTTGCAATCGGAATAAAATACATTTTTATTATTGGAATAAGACACATACTTATTACCAGAATACAGTTTTTACTGTAAATGGGAATAAGATGGTAGAACTTGTTCTTAACAGTTGGACCCTTGAGATATGACCAGCCAGATATACGAACAACTTGGGTTATGGCACAAAATTTTGTTGTTGTTGTTCTTTTTGTGGAACCAGGGATCAAACTCAGGACCTTGCACTTGCCAGGCAGGTGCGGTGTCACTGAGCTAAATCCCCAGCATGACCAAAATTTTAGTTTTAACTTATGACCAAAGTCTTGAGTTATGACCCAAATGCTGGCCACTTGAGCTTCCAGATGGTCTCAGATACAGATTTAACCCTGAAAGAGTTCTGGAAGGAACATTCCAACATCCTTTCCTATGTGCTGTTAATTGAGAAATCCTGGGCCAATGTCTCTCCAAGGGCACTGAGATCTGCCTGGAAGAAAGGTAGCCTAAAATTATACATGAGAGAGACTTTGAAGCAATTGACCAACATGAGTTAAAACCAGCCCTCTGGAATGAATTGATTTCATAAGTCCACTGTAGGATCAAACACAATGAATTCCTTGTCCCTGAAAACCCAGCCAGGATAATCCTGGAGATTTCTAGTCTTTCTCTTCCATTTGGATTTATCAAAGAGAAATAAAGGAACAAGAGAAGGAAAGGCACAGAATTGAACATTGACTTAGAGTTCTTTGCTTATTGTCAATTAGATGTTTTTGTCTCTGTTTAATAGACGATGAAGCTGAGGCTCAGCGAGGGAAATCGGCTTGCCCCATATCTGAGACACATTAAGTGTCTAGCTAGGACTTGGCTTCTGCTCCTCCCCTGCACAATGGGCCCAGTTTTGAGCATGAGACCCAAGCTGCTCCTGTGGGTACTGAGGACCTCAGGATTTGCCAACCTGGTGGTGTCTTCCTGGATTCCACACCACGGTGCCCTTTCCCTGGTTTCCAGTGGTTTGAATGCACTTCACCCAGAAGCCCTGGTTTTCTTTCTGTTTTCTGCGCCCAGTGAGAAAGACCTACTCACCCCTGTGGTGTCAGCCAAGGAGCCATATCTCAAAGTCCTGCCCAGTCCCCACTCCCTTCCCAGCAGGGTTCAAGGCTCCTTTTCTTTACTCCTGAGCACCTGGTATCATCCCAGCAGGGTCCAAGGCTCCTTTTCTGTACTCCTGAGCACCTGGTATCATCCCAGCAGGGTCCAAGGCTCCTTTTTTGTACTCCTGAGCACCTGGTGTTATCAACCTGTGCAGATGCCACTGAGGCCAAAGATTAGGTCTGGTTTTCTTTTGTACTCTGTTCTGCCCACCTCCTCCTAATCAAGGTACCCTGTACAATGAACCCCAAAGAAATGCATACGGAAAGGCGGATTCCACTCCCAGCTGTGCATGCCAAGCTAGGGCATCTTTCCCGCTTGTTATAGCTGGAGAGATCACGTCTTTTCTTTTTTTTGGTACAGGGGATCGAACTAGAGTCCTTGCGCTTGCGCAGCAGGCGGCAAAACCACTGAGCTAAATCCCCGGTCCCAATCATGTCTTTTTGCTAGCCTCCTTCCCTGACTTTTCCTGCTGAAATCCGGAGATCCCCATTCGCTGGTGGCAGTCCGCTGCCTGGGGCCACCTGCCGGGAGCTGCGGGAAGGGCCTGGCCCCAGCCGCGCGATCTCGCAGGCAATGCTGCGCCCTGGCGTCACGTCTGTGTGCTGCGAGTCCGGAAACCATAGAGCTTGACAAGCTGTCCTTTCCAGTGTGTTGTGCAGTCAAAAGGAGAGGCCACGATTGGTTCAGTATCTCCAGGGCTTCTGAATGGGGAAGTTGAGGGTAGGGCCCGGGAATGTCCACGTCCTAGCTGGCTCGGAGATCACTGCCCACACCTCTGGGAGGATGGGGACATGGAGCAGCCTCAAGCTATGATGTCAGCCAATGGCTTGAACTTGATAGTTTTCTGACTATAAGATGAATGGAGGTGCATCCCAGAAAATCTGAGAACCAACAAACTGTGAAGAAAATAAAGATTACCTATAAGCACAGAGACACCCGCTGCTAATCATGTTGATGCATATCCTTCTAAAACCTGTCTTTTATGTGTGTCCATGCATTTTACTATAAAATTGGGATTATTATGTACACAGTTTTTTTTTGAAAGTAGCAATTAATATGCTCTGAGTTCAGAAAAAAGAAAATCTGGAAAATTAGAAAAGAATAAAGGAGTTAGTAGGGTTAATCTATGCAGACCACATTTAGGAGATTATAAAATGCTGTACCAAAGTGAGCTGTAATCGTTCTTATTGATGGGGAAGTGCAGGGTGCAGTGGAAACTCTGTGGAGTTGGGCAGATGTGAACTCAGTGTGTGGCTTAGCCGCTGTGTGATGTTAGACATTCAATCCACTTCTCTGAGAATCAACTTCTCTTTAGAAATGGGGCATTATGGGTTCTTTGAGGATCAAACAAGGTCCTGTGAGTGTAACTTCTGTTCTCTTCTGCTCCAGAAGCTTGGAGGCAGTGGTGCCCTCCATGTTGAAAGGGATGGATCTGGAACAATGGCTGCACCTTGGCTGCCCACAGCCTTCTCTTCTAGATTCCCAGGGACACTGTTTGCTTCCCTTTCCATATCCTGGTGACTTCTCTGTGACACAGAATGGATTCTCTGGCACATTTGGAGAGAACTTGAAGAGACTCTGCAGATTCCTGGGAAGAGCCCAGGCTGAGCTCAATGACTTGGCTGGTACATTACTCTTGGTAACAAGATGCTGGATAAATGGCAAGAGACAAAACAGAAATCCTTACCCTTGTAAGCTTGGTCATCTGTCCCCAAGTATGTCAACATTGACTTCTGATGCTTTCTTGGAATCTGGTAAATACTTAGATTCATATAAAATCATAAGTTGATCTAAATTAATCCAAAGAAGCTGTCTGACCTCTAGGAATGCCAGAAATGTGGCTTTTGCCAGAACTTCAATGCTATGATGTGTATAGGGATCACCTAGGGTTCTTATTACCTGATGCTTCTGACTAAAGCAGACAGGGGCCTGGCTTAAGAATTTGCATTCCTACCAATCTTGGATGGTGTTGGTTTATAGATCACGCGTTAGGCCTTAATCATCGCTAGCCATAACCTTTCTTTCTTTGGCTTTCAGTAGAATCCTGAATACACAGAAAAACTAAGTGCATTAACAATGTGCATTTTTAGGCAAGGCCAGTGGTTGGGTGACACATCTGGGTCCCCAGCATAGTTTTCAAGTGACCAGTGTATCCTTGAACATGTATATCCTTAGTAGAAGCTTCAGCTTCCTTATCTGTGTGTGGAGAAGGTTCCTACCTCTATCTAAATTAGACAAAGTCTTCAGTGCTAGAAATTCTTAAGGGATGAAATCAATCATTTGCTTTTGACCATTTTAGCCTTCTATTTTTAAGTTGCGAGTTATTCCTCAGAAAGTTGCCAGAGTTCTGGAATTTTACATTAAAAATGATATACTGGCATTTTGAATGCATATCCAGTGCCCCTACAACATCTGGCAGGAAATCAGTCACCAAATGTTTACTAGGTTGAGAAAATGCTAACTGTTGTTCAGGATTACCATTAATTTTTACAAACACTCTAGGAAGTAGATTCAATTACTTTCTGCAAACAATCAAACTCACATACAAAGAAAAACCCCCTGAAATTCACAGTGCTATAGTTCAATCTGTAGTTTATATCTTGGTCTCCCCAAGATAAAAAGAGTTAAGGTTTAGTCCCTAGGGGCATGTCTTTGAGGGACTGTTTTCTTCTTGGCCTCCAGGTAAATGGTTTTGTTCTGCCATGTGCTCCCTTTCATGGACACTCAGGATTCCACCAGAGGCCTGAAAGCTGTGAGGCTACTTGACCATGGACTGGAACCTCTGAAACCATAAACAAAACACACAACACTCTTTTGATTATCTCAGATATTTGAAATAGTGATGGAAAGCTAACTCACAGAGCATGTCATCATCATCCCCAAAACATGTTGCAACAATGATTGGACCCAGGTCTGTCTGACTCTTAGACCTATGCTCTTGAATATATTTAAATAATTTAACTGAGACAGTTATGACTGCAAAACAGATGCAGAAACATGACCAAGGAGGTTTAAAATGCTCAGCCCTTTATTAAGTCTGTTAATAAAGCAGTCCCCAGTCTTAATTTAGATTTTCTTTGTTAGCTAAAGCAAATGTTAGTTCTATGTTAGAATCTGACAAACAAGCTAATTTATCTCACCATCCAGTGCAAAGGTGTTAGTCATCAGGTTCTGAAGTAGAAACTCATTTCTCCCCATCTGCACAATTAATGTGCCTGGCACTATGCCTTCAAGAGGCTGAGGGATGTGTGTTCCCTAGTCCCTTATCTGTGGTTTTATTTTTTCAGTTTCAGTTATCTGTGGTCCACCACAGTCCAAAATATATTACCAGAAATAAACAGATAGTAAGTTTTAAATCACTTTTACTACACTGCAGTGTTAAAATTGTTCTATTTTATTAGTTATTCTTGTTAACATCTTACCAATCCCAATTTATAAACTATATCATAGATGTGTAAGTATAAAAAAAAGTCTATAGAGGGTTTAGTACTGTCTGAGGGTTCAGGTGTCCACTGGGAATCATGGACTGTATCCCTCTGGGTGGGGGTGCAGAGTGGGGAGAGGGTATTGTATATGAGGTTCAAGAAGGTGGAAGACTGGTAGTCCCCAAATAGAAATCTATTTCTTGCTAAAAGGATGATACAAAAATATATTTTCATTAGTAGTTACGGATGGTACAGCAAATTAATTTTGGATGGAAGGTACCATCGAATGTAACATATAAACTGCTTTATCTTTTATATACAAATAAAAGAGAGAATTTATTTTCATTTTAAGTTTATTTAACATTTCATCCAGTTGAACTGAAATAATACATTGACTCCAACACTGGCAAGACATCGTGTTAATACTGAAATAAAACTGCCAGTCTGTAAATATTTACATTGTAGTTTTTTATATCATATCAATAGAAATATTAATAACTATTTACCTTTACAAGCTTATTGCACTTAATGCGGATTTTTTTTTTCTCCAGAAAAGATATTCCTAAGAGATCAGCGAAGATTGCTAATCTTGGTTCATTTGTTCTTTTTTTTATAAAATATGATTATACAGTTAATATTTCCATAGAAAAGCATTAAGAGTCTGAAGCTTCAATACACAAGTTTCAAAAGACACAGTTCTATAATCATTATGCCTTTGATAACTATGCTTTGTTTAAATCTTCCCGGTGTGTGTAAAATTTTGGTGAGTTTGCCAATCTTCCTACCAGTCATTAAAGTTTTACTTTATGGTTAACATTCTGCAGGGGAGCTACAAATTAGCTAGGGGTTAGGACTGAGAGTAGCTGGGTGGGTCCGGGAGGCCTCAAAAATGTTAGCTTTTAACTGAGTGCATGTTAAGCACCTTACAGAGATCAGCCTTGGATTTCAGACTTTTAAGCACTTTTTAAAGAGAAGCAAAATACATCCAAGGCCAGAATGTCATGGGGAAGCCATTTCGCTTCCAATGATTTGACAGCAAATCTAAATGAGAAGATTCTAGTGGCATCAGGGGAGGCTCAGAGCTTCAGATCCATTAATCCTTTCAGAGAAAAGAGAAACACAAGACACAAGGCACACCAGTTTTTCTTTATGAGGAAATTCAGTCTGGACACATTGTTAGGGAGGGAAAAATGATTCATCAAAACTAAATAGTTTCTAAATATTTTTCACTTACAAATCTCTGAATTACAATGATCTACACTCAGTGAACCAACTGCCTTGCATATGACATTGAAGATCTATAGGCTTGAAACAATGTTACATTAAATATATCACATGTCAAATTATTACAGTGATGTAAACAGTGGTACATGGTTTCATTATTTTCAAACAGGGTGGAATGTAATAAACGACATTCAAGTAAAATTCACTGTTGCTGATTCATAGATGTATTATTTTTGTAACTTTCTGAAAGCCAAGGAGATATATAAGGGTGGGAAGAAAAAGATATGTAGGGAACTGGAACTGTAGCCACACTTCTAAAATTCTAACTAACCAGGTTTACTCAAGTCACACAGCAGTATTATTGAATATACTTCTAAAATTTGACATTTGTAAATTTAGGTAAGTTGATTATTTGATGGAAATAGCTATATAAATTCAGTAACTGCAAGGATGTAAAACAAAATTTAAAAGCTAACCAGGAAAATCCAACAAGTATGGATAGCAGGGAAGGTGCACTGCATTGGTTTATGACTGTGACTTCCAGGAGGACATGAAGGAGCTTTTACTCTACCAAACCAAATCCTCCAGCATCTACTTTGGGCTTGCTCACAGCACAAACTTGAAGCAAATTCCCTTGGTATTTAAATTTTTACATTTGGTCCCAGAGCTTTTGCATTTTCCTAATTCCCTGCTGAGAGCTCCTTGATCTGAAATAGATGTGGGAATGAGATTTATTACTTTGAGCAGATTACCTTTTCCTGACTGATGATCAATAGGTATTTACTGAGGAGCATATGCTGAGCACCTACTCTATACCTAGAAGTGCTTTTTAAATCCCTGGCATAGGGATAGGATATTGTCTTTGAAAAACAGTTACCATAAAAGCTGCAGGAAGGATATTTCTGAAAATCACAACATGATTCAAATGTAAGGGAACCGACAGGTACCAGGCACCCGGCCCACACCAGATGTTGTGTTATAAGTAGTAGCAGCTTTATTCTAAAAGGCTAATGTGAATCTCCAAAAGGTTTTTTAAACTGGGAGAACCCATATTGAACAGGATTTTCCTAATGGACATGGCTTTGCCAGGTTTGCAGGTGGCAGGATTAGCCATTCAGGTGTCTTCCTCTACTTTACAATCCCTTGTTGAAGTACACGCGTCGTAATTCAGGATGACTCTCTTGGATTTTGGCTTGCAACTCAGCCTCCAAGCTTGTCACAGACATGGAGCTGGGGTAAGGGAGAAACGACAGGGTTACTTCATGGGTAGAAGTGAGAACCAGAACCAGAAAGTGCAGAGAGAGGTCACTATGGCTGGTGTGATAAAACAGTCCCGTTGGGGAAATGCTTCCTGCAGCTGCAAAATGGGTATCTAGTTTCTTCTGGAAACCCAATTGTCCGGTATAGAAATGCATCACGAGACCCCCACCACCAATTTATATCTCTCCTGCTAAAAGTTCAGACATCTAAAGGTTCAGATATCCCTCACTGTGGGTTAGAATGTATGGTGAAGACACTCAGACATTGCTGAGGTCAAGAAAGCAACCTGTGGCCTGTCCACTTCCAAGGAAAACAATATAAACATTCACTGTTGATGAAGAAAAGTATATGTACTAAGTAAAATATATAACACTAATAACTGGCATGTTCTGTCCACCACGCAATACATGCTTACTGTAAAACTTTTAGAAAAAGCTAAAATGTACCAAAAGAAAAAAAAAAAAGAAAGAAAGAAAGAAAGAAACCACTCATAGTCCCAACCCCGGGAGATAATCAGTTTGGCTTATAAATTTAAAGAATGTATTTGAATGTTTTACAGGGGCAAATATATTAAAGCTTTTTATTATAAATACATGTTTATTAAATACAAGTATAAAGAAAAATTGTTCAGCATGCTTGCTACCAGGAAAATCACTAATATTTGGTTATATAATTATTGTCTTAGAAATATAGTATTTGCCAGGGATTTAGCTCAGTGGTTCTGGCACCTGCCTCCCAAGCGCAAGGACCTGAGTTCGATACCTGGTACCAAAAAACAAACAAAAAATATGGTATTTTATATTTGGTATTTTACATAGTTAAAATGTTAGACAAAGATCCAGGATATAAATTTATATAAAACATGCAATACAAGTAAAAGAAAAATTATGAATATGAAAAAGTATCTTAGGGAAAAAAAACCCACAGTGGCTTTCTAGATCCTGGGACACTGGGTAACTGTGAACTCATGCTGCTGCTGCTGATAATAATGGCTATCACTTACTGATCATTCGTTGGGCCAGTTATGCATTTTAATCCTTATAAGAACTCAGAAAGTCAGGTATTTGGATTATTTTACAGAAAAGGAAACCTGAGAGGCAACTGAGAGGTGAAGCCAGATCTTTCTTGCTCCAAAAAACCATGCTCCTCACTAGTGGTTTAGTATCTACAATTACTATTAACATATTTTAAAGGACTAGTTGATTTTGGAACTGAAGTTATTTAAACCTTATTGACTGAAGAGGAATATTCTCTTTTTTAATCTTCTGGGAGAGTCTGTTTAAAATTGCACCAGTTTGGTTCTTGACAGCTGGGCAAAATTCACCTGCAAAACTATCTGGTTCTTGCATTAAAAGTAGTTTTTTTTTTTTGTACCAGGGATCGAACTCAGGACCTTGTGCTTGCGAGGCAGGAGGCGGAACCACTGAGCTAAATCCCCTGCCTGCATTAAGATGTAGTTTAAATGATGCTTCAACTTCTTTAATGGCTATAAGCCGACTCAGACTTCCTAATTTTTTTTTTTTTTGGTGCCGAGGGTTGAACTCAGGACCTTCCGCTTGCAAAGCAGGCAGCAGAACCACTGAGCTAAATCCCCGGCCAGACTTCTTAATTTTTCAGTTCTGCTTATATCTTTCTAGGAATTTATCTACTTTGAAATTTATATATATATATATGTTGGTGATGTTCTCAACTTTTTAATCTCTGCTGAATCTATATTTATGTGTCTTTTTCATTTATAATACTACTTGTTTCTTGTCTATTTGTTTTAACTTCATCAGAGATTTATTTCATTACTATTTTCAAAGAACTGATCTTGACTGTCAATCCATTACTCTTTGTTAGTCCTGTTTCTTTGCTGTCTGTTTTATGTATTTCTCATCTTATTTCCTTCTTCTTCATCTGGAGTTTATTCTTTTGTTCCTTTTTGTAAACTTAAATTGCACATTTAGTGTATTGATTTTTTAGCCACTCTTCCCTTTCTACCATTTAGACATCTAAAACTATACATTTCTCTCAAAGCAACACATTTATGGCTTCCCACAGATTTTAATAAGGAATGTATTCATTATCACTCATTCATGCGAGAGAATGGATAGTTGTGTATTTATACAGTGAACTATTACACAGCAGTAACAATGAATGAACTATGGCTTCATGCAATAATGTAAATGAAGGGTTTTTCTGTTTTTGTTTCTTGTTTGTTTGTTTTTTGGTACCGGATTGAACTCAGGTCCTTGCACTTGCGAGGCAGGTGTGGCACCAATCCCCAACCCTGAATGAAGCTTTTGATGTGAATAAAAAGAACAAGTGCTGGAAAAGTGTATCTAGCATGACATCTTTGTCTAAAAGGTCCCAAAAGAAGAAAACTTGTATATGCATAATATTCAGCATTGTAATCAAATCTGCAGGGAAGGTAGGAAGGCAGGTGGCAAGAAGCCTATAAATATATAACTTACTTGTAATATTTTATTCATTGGGTAGTAGATTCAAGGATATTCATTGCATCATTAAGATAAATAAAATACAAATAGATAAATTAGGGTCATACTGGGATCAGTGTGCATAATATGTTATGAACCAAAAAACATTATCAAGCTTAGTTATGCAACTGAGGAACAAGAGTTAAAAAGAAAAAAAACAAAAAAAACAAACAGACATAAGCCAGACCAATAAGTGTTATTTTTAAATAGAGTAAGACGAAAGAGTATTGGTTTCCCAAAAGTAAAGCCATGTACTCTTAGAGAGCTATGACCCTATAATACTAGCAGTTATAGAAAATTTTCATTTCTATACCTAGAGTTTAAGTAAATCATAAAAATAATTGTTAGAAGGAATATATTGTTTCTTTCTCACAGTGCTCAAAAAAAAAATCAAGGGCCAGGTAAGATGCTTCTTTTTGGGTTTTTGTAATCTAAAAATCCTTTTAATCTCAAAATAATAGGTAAAACATTTCTGAAAAACTACTTGGTCTCACATACCATCTTCAGTATTTACATATCCTGTGTCTAGTCCCTGAGTTTCTGCAACAGAACACTTTACCCAAAACCTCTTTTGAAACGCTGGGGCATGAAAGACCACATTTGGGACATGCTGGCCTATGAAAGAAAGAGTAATCCAAAGGCAGGGGACACAGTACCACTAAAACAAAACCAAAAACAACAAACTGCTTCTTGTTTGTTCCTTCATGTAACATTAGGAGAAGCTGGAGACCTAGATTTAGACAAGGTTGACTTAACCCTAGTCAGTCCAGTTTTACATCAAAGCAGAATTAAAGGCAGCTTGTAATAGAACACACATGTACAATAAAGATTTTAAGGAAAAAAACTAAGTAGGAAGAAGAAAAGCAAATATATCAATTACCTAAGCTAGGTACATATAATTGCCATCTGGGGGGCGTGGGGTGGAACTAAATTCTAAAATATCTGTATTATAGTTATACTTGTCAATGGGTTGGCTGACAACACATCATATTTAAATTTTTAGAAGCAAATTTGCAGCAGAGTTAACCTTACTCTTACAAAAGAATACATTTAACAGTAGGTGGTAGAAAAGAGCTGGATAAAGAGAGTTCGAAATTCGACACATGTGAGTCTGATTTCTCCTTTGTTTCTTCCTTTTAGAGACTTTGGCTTCATCACCTTTGAGTCTTAATTTCCCTACCAGTGAAATGGAATAATTACATCTATGTCTTCAGATGGCTTTTAGAATCAAGTCATGAATCACTGTGAAAAGTAAGGAATGCATACCTTTTCTGAGGAAACAGAGCACAACACAGGGGAGTGGCAAACACCAAACTTAAAAAAAGACAAAAAAGACAAGTCAGCATTTTGCATTCCCAAATTTTCAGGTCCTTAGTCTATTTTCCTTTTATAACAATATTTTTTCTGTGTTTAAAGTATTGTATTTCCTTATAAAAATGTGTTGTTTGTGTAAATTTTATTACCTAGGATTCCCAAAATACTGAAAACCACCCCCAATAAAACAACAACAAAATCCTAAGAAATAAAAGAAGTTTAAAAAAGAACCACAGAAATAGCCTTAAATATTTTAAATTTCTCCAAAGATAGTTCACTTTTCTCTAATTACTGAGACCATAAGTTCCAGATGTTCTGGCTTGGTCTCATTTTCAAAACTTCTGTCCCATATTATCCATCCTTTCTCTTACATTTCATAGGCTATATATTTGTTTTAAAAAATTAATTATTTTAATATAAATCTAAGTATAATTTTTCTGTTAATTACCCTGGATTGATCATTACACATAATAGACATATTCTGAATTATCACACACAAATATAGGTACAATTAAAATGATTATACATATACTTTTTTAAAAAGGTAATTTCTTGCTGGCTATGGTAGCCAATGCATATATCCCCAGCTATTTGGGAGGATTGTGAGTTCAAGCCCAGCCTGGGCCTGGGCAACATAGCAAGACTCTTGCCCCCACCAAAAATCATTGAAAAAAAATTAAAAGGTAATTTCTGCTCACCAGAAGCCGACCAATCCGACTTGTATAGGTGCACTCATCCACGGGAACCTCTGTGTTGAGAAACATAGGATTATGAATACCTTCATGAGGGCTCTTAGGGACCTGAACAGAAGAAACCTCTTCATTTTACAAAACCTGAATGCAATGTGGTTAGCGAAACTTGGGGGTAACTTACAATGCGTGTTAATTCTAATTTCCTGCACCCCTTTTTGATCTATAAATGAACACACATGCAAAGATCAAGTGGCTTCCATTTTCTTTGTCCTTGCACATGAAGTGTGATTAAAAATTACAGTGAATAGTTAAAGTTAACACATTACAGTAAAAGACATATTGATATTAATCTCTCTGAAAATACTCCCCCTTATCTTGAACACACTTATTCCAACATTCTTGTCATTTTCTGAAGCAGTTCTGGGAGTCCTCTTTTATAAGTCTTTAGTTGAATTGTTGAGGCTACCCTGATGTCCTGATGTGATTCAAAAGGTTTACCTTTCATGGTCATTTTGGCTTTAGGAAAGAGTCAGAAGTTTCCTAGTGCCAGATAAGGTGGATGAGGATACACTGTAATATTTTCTTTTGACAGAAATTGCCATAAATGTAAACTGTAAAGTGCTTCAGAAAGTGGCAAGAACAATGGGACAAGTATGTTCAAAGCAAGGGGTGGGTATTTTAGGGGAATTAATGACAATGTGTTTTTTACTGTAATAAATTTTAAAAATATACACATTCTCTGTATTTTTTTGATCACACCTTATAATCTGAGTGCTGCTTATATATACAGAAGGGTAGAGAAGTAGCTATCACCTAATTATAATTTATCTCCTGGCTAGGGAGGCAGAATAGCCTGCTGCCAAAGTTTAAAGGCAAATGAACCTACATCCAAATTCTATTCTAGCAGTTACTTCCTGATTGTGGGGAAAAAGTAGGGAGAGTCTAACACCTCAAAGCCTTAGTTTCTTTGTTATGCTACAAAATGAGTGCCCTAACAACTTCTTCAAAGTGTGTGAGAACATTCACAGAACACTTAGAACAAAGCAGAAACTCAAGAAGCATTTACCATCTCTCACCCCCTTTGCACTCCTCTGCACTTGATCTTTCCTGGTTTTAGTTGCTGTCAGTATGGTTAAAATTATTTCTGGCACAAGTTTTTCACGCTAGTCATTTTTTAAATTTTTTATTGGTACCGGGGATAGAACCTGGGACCTTGTGCTTGCGAGGCAGGCAGTGGAACCACTGAGCTAAATCCCTGGCCCTGTCATTTTTTTTTTTTAATTGAAAGGAATGAGTTTGTTGGTCTTTTGGAAAATAAATATGCTTAGATTTTTAGGTTTTAAAAAGAGGTGGGAGCAAAATAAATAATACAAAGAACAAAGAGATCATAGGGTTATTTAATAAGACCACAAAAATAGTTGCAACCAAATTATGAACTGGTTGTAATGGATTCAGCCAACTTAGTAAACAGTCAGCGCAAGCAGTAACAAGATAACGTGTAGGAGAGGCATACCCTAGTCCCCCAGGAGACTCCTCTGGACAAAACGAACATCAGGAGTGTCAACGTAAAAGGAGAAAGGTAAGGACTGAAGAGGAAAGAAGAAATATCATCAAGAAGACATCAGTCCACATAGGTTATGCAGGGAACCCAACCCCTAAGAGATAAAAAGAGGAAAATACAGCCATGTGTCACTTAACAACAGGAAGCACTGAGAAATGCATCATTAGGTGACTATGTCTTTGTGTAAGCACACATCAGAGTATGCTTATGCACACCAGAATGGCTATGACACTACTGATAATCTTATGGGACTATCATCATCGGCTGAAATGTCATTATGCAACACACGACTGTGCTATATCTTGGACAACTGACTATCTGATGAAAGGTTTTCTAAGAAGCTGGTAAATTCTTGCCTAAGATCTTCCTGGACAGGTGAGAAATGGGCTGGTACGCAGCCTTGGCGATGGGCAGGCAAGCTAAGTACTGAATGAGACCCTGTGGGTAGATGAACGTGAGCCAGTGAGACCAGCCTCCTCATTTCAAGTGGACTCTCATTGCAGGAAACTAGGCTATCCTGTTATCCAAAAGGGAGCATCTGTGTGTCACCCCAGGGATGGACATGTACAAACTAAATACTGACTGTGGCTCATGCAATGGATTTTAGAGGGAGGACTCCTTGTAAAGTCAGGGATCCTGGAGAAATCCAAGTTATCCTGTAAAACCCAAACTGATCCCTTTTCCTGACTCCTCCAGCACCTCATCCTGTCTAATTCACCCTTATTTCTCAAACAGAACTTACTCTTACACCAAATGAGTGAGCTGTAGATGTTTGGTCTTTCTCTAAGAATTCACAGCTAAAGGTAAGGCCATGTCCTACTTAACAGAACTATACAAATACATAGAGGATACTTTAAATAACAAGTTCAAATGAATTAAAGATAGTAATCCTAAGTTAAAATCATATATACATATTATATTCAATAAAGTGTTAAAGTTAATATGACTCTAAATTCTTTTTCCCAATGATCTTGTCCCAATAGCTCACTGACAGTCAACTGCACATATTTCATGAGTACAATGTAAATTCTAACATATGTATACAGCTATGAAACCATTACCACAATCCAAATAATAAACATGACCATCACTTCAGATATTTTCCCTATTTATTGCACCCTTTCACAATTTGCCCCTCTTCTCTAAACCCTACACTCTCTTCCCTGGTTGCCTCTGATCTACTTTATGTCACTATATATGAGCTATGTCATTATATATGAGCTTACATTTCTAGGGTTTTGTAGACAGCATCTACTCTTTTACATAATTACTTTGGAAATTCATTCATATCAGTAATTCATCAGTCTTTATTGTTGGCTTAAGCATTCAATTATATAGATATATTACAATGTGTTTACTGAAGAACATTTGGATTGTTTCCAGTTTTTAAGGCAGCTATGAACCTTTTTTGGGGTCACACTGGGGACTGAACTCAGGACCTTTGAATTGAGCTACATCCCCAGACCTTTTTTATATTTTTAATTTTGAGACAGGCTCTTGCTAAATTACCAAGTTGTCCAGGGTGGGTGCAAACTTATGATCCTCCTGCCCTAACCGTGCCGAGTGTTGGGGTAACAGGTGTGTACTGCCATACATCTTTTATGGATATGTGCTTCCACTTCTCCTAGGTAAACACCTACGTGGAAAATAGCTGGCATATGTAGCATATGTCTAATTTTGTAAGAAACTGCCAAACTTTTTCTTCTTTATTAGTCCATGTTTGGAGTACACAATGAATACATTCATTGTGGAGCTGGTACACGTACATGACACAGCTTTTTCTTAATGCTCCCCCAACATCTCTTGGTCTTCTTCCTATTTGTAAAAGAGCTATCTCCCTGTTTCCTATTGTCTATTTTTATTTTCTTCTTTATTTATACTTTGGGTTTCTCATATAAGAGAAACCATACAATATTTAAGCCGTGTGTCCGATTTATTTGACTTAACATAATGTATTCAAGGTATCTCCATGACCCAAATACTTTATTACATAAGCAAGGATAAAAATCACATGAGTATGAATAGATCCAGAAAAAACTTTTGACAAAATCCAATATCCATTCATGACAAAACTTTTTTTTTTTTTTTTTGGTACCAGGGATCAAACTCGGGACCTTGCACTTGCAAAGTAGGCGCCGGAACCACTGAGCTAAATCCCCGGCCCTATGACAGAACTTTTAAGACAGTAGGTACCTCCCCCAGTGCTTGGGAGGCTAAGGCAGGAGGATTGCCACAAGTTCAAGGCCAGCTTGAACTACACAGCAAGACCCTGCCTCAAAAAGAAAGAAAGAAAGAAAGAAAAGAAAAGAAAAGAAAAGAAAAGAAAAAACTATTCTTCAAGAAAACTGTTCACAGAAACACCAATGACGTTAGGCAGTGAACTTTTTGGTTAGCTGCAAAAATTTCCATGAGTCATCTGCCCAAAGCTGGTGCCTTTCTCCAGTGTTCTACTTGGGAAAAGATAAGGCAGGAGTGGGGGTAAGGATGATTCATACCAAATGCTCCCTGTGCATCACCATTTCAAAGAGCTCAGAATGTTCAATTAGTCTCAAGTTTACAGAGGAGCTGCGTCATCTGCAAGGTGAAAGCCCAGAGAGGCCCATCCTTGTGGAGGAGGCAGCTCTGGCCATGAGGGGTGGTGAGTCCTGTGCAGGCAATGCCCACATGGGCAGCATCTGCTGCTGAGGAAATCATTTCTGGAGCCTTTGTGAAGGATGCATAGCTCAGCCCACTTTTTCTAGCAATATGTGAAAATGCCCTGAACATTGGAAAGTATTTATGGATACCGATATAAACAGTCTTCATGTATGTTTTAATAATGGTTATACTATCTCTATGTGGGAAAAATGTAATATTAAATGGAACAGCAACCCTGAACTTGGGAGTGGCAGGTCTGTGTGGCCACAACACTCAGGCATTAATTTGTCAAAGTCATATCTTGCATTGAAACCTGGAGGACAGTTACAACCAGATCCCCTACAGCTAGGCACCTGGACCAATCCTTGAGCTGCTCTCACCACCTCTTTTGACCTTGCTAAAAGAGATCTAAAACCAGTGCCTTAGAGGTGGGGATGGGGCAGGTAGATGTCCTTTGTGGGAAGAGGAAATGAGGAGCAAGCTTCCAAATTATTATGGAAGGGTGTGATAACAAGCCAAACTAAAAACCACAAATCAAGATAAGGGTGGGGTGGAAGAAGATATTTACTCATCTTTTTAATTATGTAAAAACCTAGGGCAATGTGGACATGCAGGCTAAGATGCTTGTATCTTTTGACAGCTCCTTCCTTATGAGAAAGTACCAGAGTATATGCCAGAAGGGCAATAATTTGATGTCTGTAAAGTCAGATTCATCAGATGGGTCACTTAGCACTCTACTGTTATAATGAATCATGTTGATAATACTCTTTCTAATGTTCACTTCATAGATTTTCTCCCTCAAAGACTGAATCAGTTCTTCTAAGTCAAGGATGGACAAAGGAAGGTGTGTGAGTCCTCCCTCCCCCTGATTATCTGTAGCAGAGATGTCAAAGTTGATAGATTTCAGATGATTCCATCATTTGGTAGTTTTTAGATATAATCACTGTGTCAGTACATAATCTATCCCTCATAGTTTTACTTTTATTTAGTTTTTGGTGTTATTGAGACAGGGTCTCACTATGTCGCTCAGGCTAGGCTTGAACTATGTAGCCCAGGCTGGCCTCAAACTTGCAGTGATTCTCCTGCCTCAGCATCCTGAGTGCTGGGACTACAGGTTGTGTAACCACACCCAGGCCCTTAGTAGTTTTAAATAATTAATCTTTCCAAAACTTTAAACCAGAAAGAGACCTCAGTAAAAACTTTCATGAATCCTGAAAATAGAAATTTCTTAAAGTAAAATGTCAATATGATTATAGCAGGGGATTTCAATACCTCACTCTTACAAATAGGTCACCAGACTAAAATTCAGCAAAGAAATATCAGAGCTGAATCAAACCATCAAACAAAGGGACTTAATTGACATGTAATTTTATCCAACAAGAGCAGAATACGTATTCCTCTTAGCAGCACACAGAATTTTCTCTAAACAGACCATACCTTAGGCCATAAAGCATGCTTAAATAAAAAAAATCGAAACAATCTCTTGCAACCTATTAGATCATAATGGAATGAAACTAGAAATCAACAGCAAAAAAATTCACAGAAATTATATAAACACTTGCAGATTAATTACTATACTCTCGAACAATCAAGAGGTCAAAGAAGAAATCAGGGAAGAAATTCAATGACAATCTCAGCAAATATATTTATGGGACACAATGAAGACAGTTCTAAGAGGGAAAGTTTATAGCTATGAATGCACGCATTAGAAAAATAGAGCAATTCTAAATAAATAACTTAATGATGCATCTCAAGGTCCTAGAAAAAAAAGAGCAATCCATATCCAAAACTTGTAGAAGGAAAGAAATTATAAAGATCAGAGTGAAAATCAATGAAATTGAGACAAACAAAACAAAACAAAAAACCTCCAAGGGATTAATGAAGCAAAGACTTGGTTTTTTGAAAGGACAGATTACAGTCGTTTATGACAAACCCACAGCCAACATCACACTAACCAGGGAAAAACTGAAAACGTTCTAAAATCAGGTACAAGACAAGGTGTCCATTCTTACCACTGCTGTTACATATAGTACTCAACTTTAGCCAGAGCAATCAAGTAAGAGAAATAAAAGGGCTATGAATAGGAAAGGAATCAAATTATCCTTATTTGCAAATGATATGATCCTTTACATAGAAGACCCAAAATACTCCACCAGTATAAACATGGGTGCACATATATCACTGTGGCATGATGCTTTTAATTCTTTTGGAAGATAACCAGAAGGGGAATAGCTGGGTCAAAGGGGACCTCTAGTCCTAGTTTTTTGAGGAATCTCCACACTAATTTCCACAGTGGTTGCATCACTCTACACTCCCACCAACAGTGGAATTGGGTTCCTTTACCCTACAGGCCCTCCAGGATTTGTTATTGGTTGATTTCTTGATAGCAGCCATTCTTTCTGGGGTGAGGTGGAATCTCAGCATTGCTTTAATTTGCATCTCTCAAATGACCACTGATGTTGAACATTTTTCACGTATTTATTTGCTGTTTCTATTTTTTCATCTGACAAGTGTGTATTCATCTCAGATGCCCATTTTTAAATTTTTTTAATCATTAGATGTGATAACCAAAGAAAATATACATCAGAGCCCTAAATTCAGTAGTTCACAAAACTACTATTCCAAATTATTTTTTTTATTCCTGATGTATTGGATGGTGACATATAAACATATTCTAAATTTACACTATCTTTTAATTGTTACCTAACTAGGCATACAATGACTGAGTGTATTACTGAGTTGTAACCTCACAATACCAGCACTCTTCATTTACAAAAGCTTTTACAAATCTCTGGGATGAGAAATAAAATGTTTCCAGAAACTCCTTTTTGCTTACATAAGTACATAAGAGAAACTGACCTTCAAATTCTTTACTTGCTATTTATATAGAACATACTCTGTATCATTTGAAGTCTGAAAAGGGAATTAAAGTGACTGAGAAAATGACAGTAGAAGTGGGGCTTACCTTTAAAAAAGCTTTCTTTTCCAAAGTGTTCATGATAAATGGAGGGATGGCTAGAAGTAAAGATAGATCCACTTAAATCTTTGTTTAATTTCATTTTCAGCTCATTTTTTTTTCAATAGTTTGATAGAAAGCTTACATCACTTTAAGGTGATTTTTACACTGGCAGAGTAAAAACAGTTTGTAGTAATTCTTTAAATTATTAAATTTATTGATCATCACACTGTGTACATGTATCAAAATATCATAGTGTACCTCATACATTTGTCTAATTAAACTGATAATAAATTAAATATATATCAATAAATTTAAATTTATTAAATTAAAAACTAGTTGCATCTTCCAGATTTCTGCCTAAGCAATGTAAAAGCCACAGAGTTTTATAATCTTCAACAGAATTCTACACATAACTTTGAACAGGCAACAGTGCAAGCATCAGAAACTTTCTCCCTCATATTAAACCAAAGGTGACTTTCCCTGGGTGTCTATCATGCATGGAGAACACGTAAAAAGTCTTGCTTTAGTACATGCTAGACCACCTACTAGCTGGATAATGCTGGAAAAGTTAGGAAACTTCTCTAAATCTCAATTTTCTGTTTTTTCCAGCTATAAAATGGGGAACATTATATTAAATTGGCTATGATGTTTGGACAAGACAATGCATGTGAAATGCCTGGTATGTGGTAGGCAGCTTTAGTTCATTAATTTACGGAAAGATTGAGTTTCTTCTCTGGGGACTAAATAGTGCTTAAAATAGCAACATTACTGGAAATGGAGTTGTTGGGCTGGTGGGACTCCAAGAGTGACATTTCAAAAATGGGAAAGACTCAAATCAAAAACAAATGTAGAGAGGAGTTGCAATATTGTTTGCAGTAAATTTGGAAATCAGGGCTCTGTAGTGACACCAGGGTGAGCTCCAGAGCCTCCTTTTAGGTAGACAAGCATCTTGTTCTGAGATCTGGGCACAATTTGCCTACATTGCAGGACTGTGGCTTGCTAGACACCCCCACAGAACACACAGGGACACCGAGGGGTTCCATTGTTAAATCGGATAACACTGATCTCCCCTCAATTATCTGGGATGCAAATACAGCCATCCCTTGTTCCTCAGTGTCCAAGGAGCACTGGTTTCAGGAACCCTCGTGGATATTATAATCTGTGCATGTTCACATCCCTTATATAAATGCTGCAGCATTTGCATCTACAGTAACCTACACACATTCTCCCATATACTTCAAATCATTTCTACATTACACAGTATATAATAAATAATGCCTAATACAGTGTAAATGCTATGTAATAGTTGTGCTAAAAGGCTGTATATGTTTGGCATAGATGTGATTTTTAAAAAAATCTCTGTGGGTAGTTGAAGCCATGGATGCTGAACTGTGGAGACTGTAGGAGGGAGGGCTGTAGGAAATGCAGTTTTCCTTCGTGCATGTTTCTTCAACTTTTGTTGCCTACTCTTACTCGTCTACTAGTGAGCATTCACAATGTCAAAAGGAATTTAAAAACAGCCACAACTTCATTTGAGAACTTCCTTTTAATAGCCAAGTGCTGTTAGCATGTAGCTTAGGTGACCAAGTTAGGCATATTAATTTTTAAATTTATTTTTCCCCTGAAAATAGCATTATAACTCCTAGTTATAATATGTGTCTCAGAACCATCTCTAGGCTACTGGTCTGAAGATAGCTTTAAGCAACCTTGTGGGTCGCTAAGAGATTGTCAGAGAAATTATAAATAAAAGGCAGCTTTTCCATCTCTGGTCATGCTGGCTTCAAGCCCCATGGAGAAAACTGAGAAGTCCCCTGGCACACATTTAGCTCTTCTACGGATTTCTATTTGCTCTGTGTTCCAAGGGTTTCTGATTGCTACAAATAAATCTTCAGTAGAAATTATTTCTCTCTATGGACTTTTGGAAGTTTGTTTCAAGATTTGTAAAGATCAAGATCCTCCTTTGCAAATTCTCATTACCTCTACTGCATCCTCTAGTCTGGTCCCACTAGCCGTGATCTCTTGCCTGGAGTGCTGAGTACTGAGTACTGAGTCAGCCTCTTGAATGGTTTCCATGCAACATCCTGCACCCCTCCAGTCTGTTCTTACATAGCAGTCAGAGGCATGCATGCAGGTAAAACCCAAGTTGGATTATGCCACTCCTGAGCTCAAAACTCTGCATGGTTTCCTACCCCTCAGACTAAAAGCCATAGCTTGAAATGCCTAAGCAACCACCCAACTGCTCTCCAGGCTCTCGGCCTCCTTTCTGTGGCTCCCTATCTCCCCTCTACCCCAGCTACACCTTCCTCCCTGCCAAGTCCCTAACACAAGATATGAGCTCCTGCAGCCCCGTGGCTACTGTCTCTGCCCAGAATATTGCTTCTATTTGTCTCACGCCTTCATCTCCACCCAGTCTTCTTCTAGGCCGCCCTTCCAACTTCTCAACATTTCTTTTCCCCTCAGTCTTTATTGCCATTCCACATATAGGTTAAGCATCCCTAATTAGAAAATCTGAAATCCAAAGTGCTCTGAAATCAGAAACTTTCTGAGCACTAAAGATGCCACAGTGAAAATTTTACACTTGACTCATGTGACAAGTCAGTAAAAATGCAGACATGTAATATACAATTTATTCAACATCATCAAGGGGAACAAAGTCCCCCACATCCTCCTTCAGCTGCAATAAACAAACTTTGTTTCATGTACATGATTATTAAAAAAATGCATAAAATTATCTTCAGGTTATATATACATGGTATATATGAAACAAATAAATTTCATGTTTAAACTTAGGTCTCATTCCCAAGATAGCTCATGATGTATATGCAAATATAAAACCAAAACAAACCTAAATTGAAAACACTTCTGGTCCAAAGCATTCTGGATAAGGGATATTAAACTTCAACTATACTTTTATTTTCTTATTTATCTTCACCTCCCTCACTGTAAGGTAATTTTCATAAAGGGGAATGACTTTTTGTTGTTGTTTACTGATCCACAAAAGCTTGTTCAGCTTAGACTTATGGACTAAATGAATGGATGAGCAAATTGCACTAACCCATGCCTGGGGCTGCCATGAGAATCCTGGAGATGACGACTTGTGTGATGGCTTGTTTCGCAGCATTTGCTGATTCACCCAAACGGTTCCCATTTTCATCGGTGATGGGAATGCCAACTTTGAGTTCCCTGCAGAGCAAAACACATGTGAAAGAGTTCACAGATACCTTCATCCAATGTCTTGAAATAGCACTGTGTTGGGAAAGAGCCAGTCCCTACTTCATCCTGCACCCCCTCAAATGTCATTTTTGGCACTGACAAGTCTATTTTTAAAAACCATGAATAAGTTCAATCCTCCTGTGATAGACACACAAGTAAAATCACACTAGTATGCTTTTTTAAAAAAGGGTGTACCTTTTCAATAACAATAGGATCTGAAGGGTAGATATGCTAATTTAAGGATAAGGCTAACTTCTATGTTCATGTACAAATTTGAGGAACTTTCTAAGTCAGAAATAGATATAACACATGATGCTATCATCATGTCAACTAATTGTACTGACATAGAAATAGTCTTAAACATGGCCCTACTGAGTATTTATTAACTGTAGTTACTAACCCAGTAAGGATAATTCTTACTGTTACCCCAGTTTTTCATGATCAATTCCAAAATGCTTTCTCTTCTTTCTTTTGCTTCGATTTTTTTTTTGCCAGTTTTAACAAAATACTTTCAAAGATACAGATTAATAAAAAAGCCCCAAAAGAAAAGTCCACAGGGGAAAAAGGAACCTATTTTAGAGAATAAACTTTTCAGAGAACTTCCTTGCTGAATTCAAGCACAAATCAGTATAAGCTAGACAGATTTTTGAAACTTTTTATTATACTGAAGTAGATAGATGATTCTAAACCACCACACTCAGTAGCCTGCTTCAGTAATGAGCACTGCATCACCAAGCTTCTTGTATCAATGGGGCCACCCTCACCTTCAACCCTGGGTTACTCTGATGAAAATATGATTCTATAAATTTCCTCTGTACATATTAATACAAGAGTTTCAACGAAGCCAATTATTATAATAGATTCTCTGCTGAGCACAAGTTTCTCTTACCTTTGCCTCATTAATGGAATATTAATGCAATTAGCAGCAGCTACAGCAGCAAAGGGGACAAAACGTCCTATCAGTGGTGAGACATGCTGCAGAAAAGACAATTCCAAAAATATTACGTCACTTTTCCTAGACAAATGAATGGAAATACTTTATCTTTTCTTAAAATGCAGAATCTTAGTTGTATAGAAACTCAGCCCAAGAGGACTTTCAAAACTTGTTTCCTAGTGGTGTTTTTATATTTCCAGCATGGGCAGACTGGGACAAAGCATACTCCTATGATATTTTGACAGCTTAGTGTGGTTGAAGATAGATGGGTTTTCGAGTCCCAAAGTCTTGAGTTCATATGCTGGGTCTTCTGCCTCTTCAAAGACACTGGCTGCCACATGGTCTTGGGGTCGGGGGAGGAGGGCACTTGGTACTAAATACACAGGGCCAGACCACATTCTTGGGTGATGTCATGGATGACAATCCTCCCCATACTCTTTGGAAGATATAATTAAAACATGTAGCTAAAGATAATGAATACAATAAGAAAGCTATGTGACTGAAATTCTTTGGAGAAATAATAGAGGCACTTAGATCCAGACAGGTGAGAAGAAGCTGGAAGTCAGAGTTGAGTACCTTGGTTAATGCATTAAGTCCCAAGGCTGTTGCCACAGCACCAGTTGTTGCAGAGACATAAGCTGTTCCCAACTCTCTGAAAGGAAAAAGTTGAGTGTGTAAATGACAAATGCCATGTCAGGGAACTCTGGTCCATTATTTAAAAAAGTATGAGAGAAATACAAGAGTATGCGTAAAAGTAGAGACTCCACATAACAACATAGAGTATCAGGCTGCAAGCAGAAGAACATAGAGAAAAAGCAAGTAGAACTCCTAAAAACAGGCTTCTTTGCATAAGTATACTACAACCCTCAACAAGTGTACAAATAGGCTGAATACTCATGGTGGGGAGGAAGGAGGGGTGGTGTAGAGGGAGCTACAAATGCAGAGAGCTGCATCTTGGGCTCAATGTTTGGAGCACATTTCTTTAAATCAAAAATACTTCTCAAAATATTAATATATATGGATAGCAAAATGCAATGCTGCCATTATTAAAATGTTGTCTTACTGTACAAAAATACTAAAAGGCTCATCTTCAAAGTACAATTAAGTACAAGCAATTCTTGTGATTCTAATAACAACTATGGGTTGCAGATTTCAATATTTTTGGTTCCATTTGATGATAATAAAATTGCCAGAGGCAATTTTCCTTGGTGAAAAAAGAAAAACACCTTTCTTTCAAGTGTTATGCAAGTTACACCACATTTGTGCTTAACTAGTCTCTTTGGCTTGTCTAAAAAAAAATTTTTTTTAATAGGAGGAAAATACATAAACACATTACTTTTTAAGGGGCTCCAGAGATGAACTATTTTAAAAACAAAGCAAGTATGAAGGTCACACCGTCATGATCTCCCTCTGATTTCTGCAGAGAACACTCTGCTGACCCCTCTGCTTTGATTCTGATGGCTTTGACTCAGAATCAAAGAATTGAAGGCCCAATGGGAGTACAGGTTGTCATTTCCCAGAGACCAGGCCTGATTCACTTGTCATGTATTGTACAGGGGCATGGGTTCTGGGGTGTGAGTGATAACATTCTACCAGTGCTATTAACAGCATGAATACTGTGAGAAGTAGGATAGAAGGCAGCTATTTTGAAACAGAGGGAGGAAGAAACACTTTACTTAAAAAAGATGATACATAGTATTCTGTCCAACATAAACAGTTTGCACAAATACAGTTTCTCTTATATGAGAAACCTAAGGTATAAATAGACTAAAGAGCAAAATAAAAGATAGGTAATAGGAAAAGGGAAGAGGATCGAGAGATGGAGGAAGTGAGGTGGGAAGGGAAGGGGTTGAAAAAAGAATTGAGATGTGTCATGTCCATGTACCAATTTCCCATGATGAGTGTAATTATTATGTACTTCAAACATCCATTAATAAAAAATTAAAAAACAAAAATAGATATGTGCTTAAAAAAAAAGAGAGTACCACCACTTAATCAAATGAGCACTGGAGAAGGGCAACAGAGATTAAACCTTAGAGCCTTACTTTACGGTGAGTGGGGCATCTCCACTTCTGTTGGTGTAATTAACCACTGCATTGAAGGACTGGTTAATCCACTGCCAGAACAGCACTGCAGGGGTGGTCCTAAAACAGAGCAATCCATCACACATCCAGCACCACCTGCAACCCCTCCACTGTACACAACAGAAAGTATAAACACCAGCAGAGAGGAGGGTATCAGAGGGGGCGAAATACTGGGCCAGATGCATGTCGCCCACAGGCTTGGGACCTGTGTGGCTTCCTCTCTGAGGATAGTTTCCTCATCCCCAAGCTCAGAGGGTTCCTGTGATGATGACATAAAAAACTGTACAGTGTCTGGCACAGAGTAGATACTAAATAAATGGCAGCTCCCTTTATTTGGACAAAAAGAAGCCATTTGTGGGCTAAGCAGTCTCAGTCTCTCCTAACTACAACTGTATATGTTAATGTATATTAATGTCTGTCTATCCTATACCCATCCTTATACCTATAGCTTATATAAGTGGATTAGAATTTGCCATTAGACTATTTCCTTTATGTTATTTGCTTTTGGGTATAAGATGCAGGGAAAACCAACTTTCTCTTGAACAAGATGCTATTCAACAGAGGGAAAAGATAAAATGGATCTTTGAATAAAATATCTATTTAAAGGCATCATCAAGACCTGTTGCTTAACAGAGTAGCAACATTTACACAAAGTGGGACTAAAACTGAGATGACATTTATCATATTTCTTTACTTTTCCCAAAGGAACACTACCTATTTATTTATATATTTATTTGTGAGGCAGGGTCTCACTATGCTGCACAGGCTGGTCCTGAACTCCTGACTCAAGTGATCCTCCCACCTCAGTCTCGGGAGTAGCTTTGACTACAGGTATGCACCATTTTATTTTTAATTCTTTAAAATATAATTTTATTGACCATATTTATTGGGTACAATATGATGTCTTCATATTACGGAATGGTTGAATAAAGCTCATTAACTATCATCCATACACTTAGGAAATGACATTAATTTCAATAAAGTTATTTACAAATTTAACATATACTCTGGGCTTCTGCACTGTCAAATGAATGAAGTGTTACTACACATCCATAACTTACCTATAAAATGTCATCATGCAGCCTGTGATGGTCATGTTCATTGGAACCTGAGCTGACATCCTTCCTATCAAAATCATCTTTTCACCAGTGTCAGGATGAAAAGCAGAATCGTAGATGTACTTTGCTTGCCATAATTCATTTTCTGTAAGACCTGGAGGAACAACTCCTTGTCTAGGAAAATGACAACAAATGACATGGCAACTGTTCATTTCAAATATTTCACCAGTGCCCTAGGGATAAGGGGCTATAAGACTTTTAAAATTGTGCCTAGAGGGGAAGGGGAAAGGAAAGAAGGGAAAGGAAAAATTACGAGAAAAGAAAAAAAATGGAAACGAAATCTATGTAAATAGGGAAGGGTGGAGGGGGTGAAGGACGCACAGGTAATGGGGAAAAAATAAGAACCAAGATACATCGTGTACAGGTACAAGCACCCAATGATAAATGTAAACGTATTGTATACCTAAAATGTACCAATAAAAGAATTTAAGCAAAAAAAAAAAAATTGTGCCTAGATGAAATGACAAATCTGCTATATATAGTTAATGTTTTTTTTGTTTTTGTATCGGGGATCGAACTCGGGACCTTGTGCTTGCAAGGCAGGAGCCGGAACCACTGAGCTAAATCCCCAGCCCTGTTAATAAGTATTTTTAATTCTTATTTTGTGTTTATTTATTTAGTTTGGCTGCTGGGGATTGAAACCATGGCTTTGCATGTGCTCTCTGAATGAGCCACATTCCCCAGACCATTGCAGTAAAAAAGAGTTAAAGCATAAAGGACAATAAGCACTTAAAATATTTCAAATCTAGCCTTCTCAAATTATCTGTAACTTGGAAAATAGAAAAATCTTGTATTCTACAGTAGTACTTAGCTTTGAAATATTCTGTTTTATATGACATACTAAAAAATGTAATCTGAACTTTGCAGACCCTAAAATATTCTTATCCAATTTGACAAAAGCTATGCAATAAAAAATACTAATTCAGGGCTGGGGATTTAGCTCAGTGGTTCCGCTGCCTGCCTCCTAAGTGCAAGATCCTGAGTTCAATCCCTGGTACCAAAAAACAAACAAACAAACAGAAATACGAATTCATTTTTAAACTAAGTTTGGAAACCTAGATTAGGAAGACATTAGTGAAAAAAGCATTCAGTATTCATTCTTTTTTTTTCAAAGAAACATGCTCAGTGTGAGAAATTTAGAAAATGCAGAAATTCATTAGAGCAATTAAAATAATCACTCCAGCCTTTGCCTGTTGGCCACCACCTGTAATGTTTTGGTGAATACATGTTCACCCTCACTTCTAGGATCTCTATGCTCTGTGTTTATTTAAAGGCCTCAATACCAGATCTACTGCTTAACCACTTTTAAAAAATTCAATAATATTTTGCAAACATTTTGGTATGTTTTGAGATATTTTTCTAAATCATCTATACTGGATTGAATTGTGTTGCGTCCAAATTTACATCCACCTATAGCAACAGAATGTGACCTTATTTAGAAATTGGGTCTTTGTCGACACAGTTAGTTAGGATGAAGCCATACTGGATTAGAGTGGTTGTTAAATCCAGTGAAGAGTATCCTGATGAGATGGCCATGTGCAATACACAAAGACCACAGGTGAGGACAGGGGCAGCGAGATGGGAGTGATGTACCAGTAAAGCCAAGGGACACCCAAGAATTTCTAGAGCTACTAGGACCTAGGAAGAGGTACAAGGGATTCTGCTATAGCGCCTTCAGCAGGGAATGGCCCAGCTGACACCTGGATGTCAGACTTTTTACCTCCAGAACTAGAAGAGAATAAATTTTTGTTGTTTTAAGTCACCCAGTTGGTGATACTTTGTCATAGCAGTTATGGAAAATAAATACATCATCCTTTTAAAAACTGCACAGTATTTTACTGTATTATTTTAAAATAACATAAAATTGTTTAAAATATTATACTAGTCTCCTAGGTTTGGGGCATTCCAATTGCTTTTAATTTTCTAATTGTAAAATATAAGTAAGTAAATAAACCTTCAATATAAATATTTCCCCATATTGAGATTATTTAGAAAGAAATGAACAATTTCCTGAGACAAAAAGCTATGTAAAGTATTAAAACTTTAGATGTCTTTTATTATTTAGATACAACTTTGTTTTAATATATCAACAAAAGCAGAATCACTGTTATTTATGTAACTTATATGTATACTTTATATACTGTGGATAATTAACCCGAATTTTCATTTGGTTAGTTATCTGTTGTCCTAAAAATTTTGTATTTCTTATGTAATCAAGTACAAACCACTTTGAAGTTGTGTAAATATTCACCTAAATGTACCACATTTTAATAATAGTAGTTTTCTTTTTGTCCTACAAAATTCTAATTTATTTGGAATTTACCTTAAGATTGAAAATGTGGAACTTGCCTATTTCCCTGTTGGCTGGTCTCTATCAATTGAGATTTTTGTGGATACAGTAGTGTACAGTATTAGGCTTAATTCCCAAGACCTTCTAAGACCAATTTATTTGCATATCTTCACATCAAAACCCACCATTATAATCTGATGGTCCATTTAAATTCTTGGTGGAGCAACTGTTGCTCATTCTGTTAATATTTTTCAAAAGTGTCTTAGTTACACTCATCAATTTATACTTCCAGAAAAACCTTATAATTACTTTGTAAATTTTGCAGGTGATCAAAATTTATTTTGATTGAAACTGGATTGTCTAGAGAGCAGTGACAATTCCATCCAATCCTATGAAATATCTCTCTAGGGCTGGGGATTCAGCTCAGTGGTTTTGCCACCTGCTGTGCAAGCGCAAGGACCCGAGTTCGATCCTCCCAAAAAAAAGTCTCTCTAGTTATTCAAATTCTTCTTTTAATGATTCTCAGTAGTCTTATAATTGCCACATATTTCTGAGCTTGTTTCTGATGCTTTACATTTTTTTATTGTTCTTTTGAAAACAAATAAAAATATTTTTAACAGATTATTGCTGGGACACAGGAAATCACCAATTTTTTGTGTATATTATAAGCAGTCCCTTCCATAATACAACTTCATTTGTTCCATTGGTTTTCCATTTATTGTTAAGAATATAATCATTTACCAAAAAAGAAAAAAACTAAAAAGACCTCCCATTTTTTCAATATCTGTATGTTTTATTTCTAGAATGAAGTTTTATATAATAGTGAATATACAGGTGTCCAGAACTTGCTCCTTAACTTTTATGAGAATGTCTCAGAGCAATCTTTCCAGTGGCCTGTTCTCTTGGATATTAATAGATGTTATGGGAAAAGAGAAAAGACCCATATTTAAGTTTGGAAAAATAGATTATACAGCTTTCTTTACTCTTAGACTTCTTGGAAACTTTAAAAAGTTAATGAGATGTGACATCCTCAAGAGTAGCATGTGAACTCTCCCAAATTTAACCATAGAAACCACTTTCATTTTTGTTTTCCTCTTCTATTCCATTTTTACAATCTTTCAGGAAGTTCTGCTCTAGTGGTTCATTATTTAGTGTAGTGCTAGCTGTTGATGAGGAATATAAATTCCTTATCATTTTAAAGAAGGACTACACATTATTCTTCGCTAATTAATTATTGTTAAGAATTAGATGCATAATTTTTTCTTTTGGGGGCTCAAGATGTAGCTTTTTGCTTTGATATACTGATGTGAAAAATTACATTAATAAATGTTCTAAAATTAAATCACCTTTTCATTCTTGGGATAAATCCTTCAAGTTGTTAATTGTTTCTAGAGAGAAATAAAATTGATTTTGAACATTGATCTTGCACCTTTTGGCCTTGCTAAACTCACTTACTTGACTTCATTTTTTTTTTTGAGATTCTTCCTAAATAGATGATCGTGTTTTCTGTGATTGAAGATAGTTTTACTTCTTTTTTTTCTTTATATATTTTATTACTTAAGTTTTCCTTTATGGTACTAGCTAGCACCTTTAGCCCACTGAATAAGAGTAGTGAGAGCACAAATCCTTAGCTTGTTGCCAATCTTATGGGAAAGTGATCCTTATTTCACCATTAAATTTGACCTAGGCTTACTTTTTCTTTCTACTCCTAGTTTGCTGAAAGAGTTATCATGAATGTATGCTGGATTCTGTCAGCCTTTTCTGCATCTGTTGAGATGCACTTAACAGTTTAAAGCTAGCCATAGAGAAAAAGGGTAATACCCAAAATAAGCAGAACTCAAGTGGGGCTTGAATGTGAGATCGGCTTAACATTTGCAAATCACCACTGCAAGTTTGCTCTTTATTCTCTATTCCTCATTCCTCTGATGTAATCTTTTCTTTTTTTTTTGTATTAAATTCTTTTATTGGTACATTGTAGGTATACAACACAATTGCATTTCTCATTGGGAATTGTACCTTTACATAATGCATCTTGGTTCTTATTTTTTCCACATGTAATCTTTTCTATACCTTTATTTCTTCTACATTAGGCACTGGAAAACCATAGCCCACAGCCTGATCTAAGGTGAGCCAAGAATTATTTTTTTCACTTTTAGAGGGTTAAGAAAACAAATAAGCAAGGATATTCAATATGTATGTATATGCAAATAAGGAGCAAAATATAAGACAGATAAATAGGAAGTAGGGAGAGATCCAGATGCTTCTCCAAATTACCTATTCCATTGTTTAAAAAATATTTTAATATATATGCTAATTTATTTCATAAATACAACTAGTTTCTTAGTTCATTTAAAAGTTTTGTATATTATATGTTTGTTCCTTCTTTAAGAGAGAATCCTTTTTGTTGATGTCTTGTACTCTGAATAACTACATTGAAGATAATGATACACAGTATACACTTGATCTTAACCCAAAGGCCGAGAAGTGATGATACACAGTATGTTAATTATCATTATTCTCTTATTATTTTGCTGTGAAATTCTGTTTGTTTCATAAAAAATACGTAATAGAGACAACTGCAATGCCTAAAACTATTTGCCTTCTGGCCCTTCACAGAAAAAATTTGTGGACCTCTGATTATGTTCCCTGGAGAGCTTCTCTAGTTTCTCTTCTACATTTCTAGTTCTACTTTTTTCATGTTGCCATTTCTGTTGTTAGTTCTCTACCACTGCCACCAGTGAAGATTTTAATTCGTCTGTTATATTTTTAGTTTTTTGATAAGCTTTCTTATGTCTTTTCAATTTATATAGTGGTCACTGCATCTCAACCTCTCCTATTTTATGGCTTTTGTTTCAGATTTACAAAGAATATGTATTTTCTTGAATTCCCTCAATGTGCTCCTGTGAACTCTTCATTTTCCCTCACTGCTCAGTAGTTTTGCATAAGATGCCATGTTGTCCTGCTGCTTGTATATTCCCTCCTGATGCATGTTTGCACACTGTGAATCTGGCCAGACTCAGATTGGCATAGGTTCCCTTTCTAACTACTTAGCCATAGCCAAATCCATCTCAGATATGTTACTTGTGTGCACATTTAGGTGCCACCCTTCTGACAATTCACTCTTTAACTTCTGGCAAGACTTTTCTCTATAGCAGGGGCCAGCGAACTATTACACATGGTCCAAATGCCCTGCTGGTTAGAGTGATTTTTACCTTTTTAAAGAAGATTATAAAAAAATAATAAAACAATTAAGAATAATATGCCACAATGTGTTAATTTTCTGTCACTATGACAAAATACTTGAAATAATAAACTATAAAGAGGAAAGGTTGGCTCATGATTTCAGAGGTGTCAGTCCATGGTTCCTTGGCCTGTTACTTTGAGCCTATGGTGGCACAGTACATCACTGCAAGAGTGCACGGAGGAGGAAGAGGTCTATTTACCTTATGATGGCTGGGATACAAAGAGAGAGGAGAGGGCCATGGTCCCATTATCTCCTTCATAGGACTTAACTTCCTTCTACTAGGTCCTACCACTCAACTAACAGTTCTAGTAGTACCACGAGTTGACAAACAAGTCTTCAAACACATAGGTCTTTTGGGGGATATTCTAGATTCAAACTATAGCAGACAGATACTTTTTGTGGTGCACAAAGCCTGAAATATTTCTTATTCAGACTTTTATAGGAAAAATCGACAACTGCTGTATAGGAATATATAATCCCTGCGTATCCATGGGGAATTGGTTCCAACGCTTCCCACAGATATAAAAATCTATGAGTGCTCATGTCCCTTGTATAGAAAGGTGTAGCATTTACAAATATCCTACATATATCCTGTATACTTTAAATCATCTCTAGATTACTTATAATACCTAACATAATATAAATGTTATGTAAATAGTTGTTACACTACAGTGCTTAGGAAATAATGAGAAAAAAACCACGTCAGTACAGATGCAGATTTGGGGAATACTTTTAAAAAGTAGTTTTGATTTGCAGTTAGTTGAATCCACGGCTATGGAGTCAGTGGATCTGCAGGGCCACTCTCTCTCTACATAGACCACATCCTCTCTTACCTCAGGCCTGGCTCTCAGCTGGTGCAGTGCACCCTGAATCTGCAATCCCCAAGTTCCCATAAGCATCCTGCCAATCTGAGCCCCTACCCAACAAGTTTTATTTACTGGGGCTATATTTCAGAAGCAGCCACCCTCCCCTTAATTTTTGACAACTTATTTTTTGTATGCTGCTGTTTCTTTCCAGAGACATAAAAATGAATGGGATAGTTGTGGATTCAGGGGAGAGCTGTATTACAGGAAAGAAGCCAGGATGCTGAGGACCTCACAGATTGATTCCTATGAGGAAGGTGGTTGCCTCATTTTAAGGTTACAACAAACCCTGGATAACTGTGTGAAGGGTCAGCAATGGGAGATACAAGTCTCCCTACTTTTTTTCTTGATAAAAAGAAAAATTGCATTGCAAAAAAAAGTTGAAAAATCACCAAGTGAAGGTTTAAAAATAATAGATAAACATGATGATCTGTTCATAGATGAAGTAAAAAAACCCATAATTATTAACGTTACCTGTAATCATGTATTATTTTTCTGGCATTCTCTAGTTGTTCGTTTGATAATAAAATATTTCTGGGGTCAGTCACAGTGAAGAAATGATTGGCTCGTCCCACGAAAGTGCTTTGATCCCATCGAGGCTCCTTGATGTTAATGTTCAGTGGCAATTCCCCAGACATCTTCCTGAACTGCAGGGAGGCACAGACAGCTCCGTAAGACTGCACTGTCACCCCTCTAAGCCAAGAGTTGTATGCTCTTTCTACTTATAAAAATAATTTTGCCCTCAATGGCAGAAAGACCATCAAAATCAAAGCTATCAATCTCAATGCACCTTAACAAAGTTTCAACAGTTTTCCACATATTTCTCCTTATAAGTATATGGTATTTCATCATTCCTTACTTACTGGAATCCTAAAAACACTGTAGGGAAAAACAGAAATATAAAAAGGTTTAAAATAACATCAACAGAAATAGGGTTGAGTCATTCATAGAAAACTGCATGCACCTCGAGACCATAATGCTAAGTGAACAAATCAGACAGAGAAGGCTAAATATTATGTTTTCTCTTAATGAGAAACCCAAAGTATAAATGATTTAGAGAGTTAAATAAAGGATGCATGATAGGAAACAGGGAGACAGACCTTGGAGAGATGGGAAGGGGTCTGGAGATAGGGTTAGACAGGAAGGAGGGGTGGGAGAGGGAAGTAAAAAGAATCAAGGGACAATACTGTATGTATCAACTCCCTATTATGAATGTATTTATTATATATCACAACATATACTAATAAAAGGGAAAACAAACAAAAAATTTTGAAAAACAAAACAAGGGTCTGTAAGTTTGAACACATTTTTCGGAGTGAAACAACCAATGTTAAACTACTGCTGCTTTTTGATCTACTAAATTTTTCACTCCTACTAGAAAAAAATGATGATGCAAAAAAGGCATAAATAATAAAAATTATACAATTCAAGGAAAGATTCAGACGCATATCCATTCAGTCTTTTTCAGCATATAAACCACTAATCAAAATTATAAATAATATCCTTTCATTTACTAGGAACATTGTGGGAAAAACATTCTGACAGCCTGATAAATAGGAACAACACTATAGCATATCATTTTCCTCATAAAATAGCTACTTTCTGGCTCATAACCATTACTTTTTCTCATAGTAATTAATTTCTTTCTCTAAGTAATACATGCTTATTTTAGAACTGCTTATTTTAGTGTTGTAATACATGCTTATTGCAGTATTATGAAAAAATACAAGATTAGCAAAATCTCCTATAATCCAGCCACTCTGAAGTAACCATTGTTAATGTTCTCATACATTTTCTATACATACTATCATATAATTTAAAAATAATTGGATGTCATATTCTATTTGAGTATCTTCTCTGCATCTATTTTATGAATATCTCATGTCTTAAATGTTCATTTTCGATATATAATGCTACCTTTAAATGTTATTTCATTTTCTCATCAGTATATATAATGCTGTATCATTGGTTTTCTTTGTTTTTTTTGGTACCAGGGATCGAACTCGGGTCCTTGCGCTTGCGCAGCAGGCAGCAAAACCACTGAGCTAAATCCCCAGCCCTGTATCATTGTTTGTAAACCTTTTTCCCTCATATCTGATGATTTTCTTGGACTAGATCTCTATGCAGGATGTTAGCATGTCATAGGATCTAATCACTATGAAGGCTTCAAACTATTGCTTTCTTGGACCTGTTTCCCTTGGGTCCATTTCTAATACCAGTTCTAGTCATTGCTTTCTTTTCCAGGTAAATTTTCATTAAATTATTCCTTTAGTGGTTTATAAGTTCTTAGTGTGTTAAGATGTCAGATACAAATATGAGACACACTTGTAATGTATAGTTTATCAACATCTCTGATTAATACACATTGTGGACCACTGGATCGAAGTTGAGCATGTTGGTTAGGCCCAGAGATATGAGAACTCCAGTGTATGTGAAATAGCTAGACAGGGAAAGAGACAAAGTAAAAATCAGCTCTGCAACTGATAAAGCAGGCTGGGATGACAAATGAAACCGGCTGCAAAGTTTAGGGGGAAAACACATTTTTCTCAAGGTCAAGATGCAGCTTTCCAGTGTCATGACAGTTCCCTTTTGAGTGCTACTGCTTTCTCATCTCACTGAGAAACCTTGTTCTCTATGATCACAGATGGTCACAAACTTCGCTGTTTGAAATAACAGGAAGAATTCCACTCCTGACATCCCACTCCCAACACTGAAGGGGACATTGGGTTTTCTAGGCCAGGTGGTTTCAGATTAAGGAATTTTGGGCACAACATTCCAAGTCTATCTTAAGTTCAAGTTTCCAAGCAAAGGGGAATGTGAGTCCACTTCACAGTCCAAACTTCTAAGCCCAGCCCAGCTTTGAGCTTGTGAAAACAATGCATCACTAAACTGCCCCTGAGGTCCACCACTGTCTATAGTGCTATCACAGACCTAGCTCCTCCTTCAGTTCCTCTGCTGTGTGAATGCCCTTTGTTGGACAACAGGTTTGTCCCTGATCATCCCTAGCTGACTGGGTTATGATGGGACACACGGAAACTTCAAATTAGAACAAATCAAATTTTGCATGTTAAGTCCAGGGATACAAGAAATATAGTGTAGCAGTCTCCCCTTTTTCTGAAGAGGATGCATTCAAGGCCTCCAGTAGATACCTGAAACTACAGACAGTACTGAACTCTAGCTGCATTATATTTTTTCCTATACATGCACACATATGACAAAACTTAATTCATACATTAGGCCACAGTAAGAGATGAAAAATAATTAATAAAGAGAGCAATTATATACTGTAATAAAATGTGGTCACTTTCAAAACATTTTCTTTTTTGCCTCTGTAATTTTCCACTTAATATTTTGGGCTAAAATTAACTATGGTTAACAGAAACCAAGAAGACCACAGCTAAGGGTGGAGAGCTGTACATCAAAGGGCTGTGCGGAAAAATGCCTAAATTTTGAATTAGAATACATCACTTGTATTATTTATACAACAGACAAAAAGAAAAACAGACTTTAATTTATGCACAGGAGAGCGGTGGTCTTCAGACTTGCCCAGAGGCCATCTCAGCGACCGAGAGGCAGCACCGGGGCGCTGTGCAATGGGCCCTGAGCCCTAAGCTTATCTCAGCTCCAGCAGATCTGCTCTGACCTGCCCTCCATGTCTGTGTTTCAGGATGATGGTTTTTTTGAAAATAGTGCTTGGAAAACAAAGAAAAAAGTTGATAACCTCTATAAGAGAAGACAAGGAATGAATATTTTTCAACATCTTAAATAAACTGTGATGTCCATTTGATTAGTGCTTCTTAGACTGTGTGATGGATGTCTTGCTTGGTTTTTTCTTTCTTTTTTATTTTGAGATAAGGTCTCACTAAATTGTCCAAGCTAACCTTAAGCCTGTGATCCTCCTGTCTCAGCCTCCTTGGGGTGCTGGGATTATAGCATGGATCACCACACTCAGCTTCTGCTTGGTTTTTCTAATTTTTGAAGCCTATCTTAAGCTGGACATGGTGGTACATGTCTGTAAACCCCAGCACTCTGGCAGGCTGAGACAGGAGATTCTTAAATTCAAGGCCGACCTTGGCAACTCAGTGACTTAGCAAGAACCTGTCTCAAAACATCAAAGGGCTGGGGATACAACTCCATGCAAAGGACATGGGTTCAATCCCTAGTGCCACAAAAACCAAAACCCATCATGGGTCAGTATTTTTGTAAAAATATAATAAAAATTTTTTCAAAGAAATGAAATGAAAAAAATTAAGTATAGAATTAAAGTCTCAAGTTTTTATTATTCAATTCAGCAGATATTAAATGATTCTGCCAAACTGTTATAACAATTTTTAGTGCTTATTTTTAATAATTTAAACACAATGTGGACTTATAACAAGCAGTTCATAAACTGGCCCAAGTGGGTCACACATTGAAGTTACAACTATGTATATAGTTCAAATTTTCCTTCCTCCCTTAAGTGTCATGAAACGAACACTAAATAGAATTAGTCTCATACATCTTACTTCCATTTGTGAAGATGTCAAAGATATAATTCCTTTTTGTTAGTAGACCATAGTTTAAATACAAAACATAAATTCTTTGCAGGAAAACTCTTAGCTTTTTTCCCCCCTTCTTAAGGTCTAAAAATACTTCCATGTTTAGTAATTATTCACTGGCACCTACCTGACCAAATCATCAGTGATGTCAGTGAGCACGGAAGATAAAAATTTCTACCCTAGCAAGCTGACATTGGGCTGGTAGGTAAAAGAGGAAACAAGAAATAAACAAATTTTAGTATATGTGCTGCCGAAGTGAGCACAACAAGAAATAAACAAAATCGTAAGAGATAAGTAAATTAGTCATTATGTTGGAAGGCAGTAAATGGCTAGAGGAAAAATAAAAAGCAATGTGATACAAAGGCTCATGAATACTACAGATTGCATTTTAAAATAGGGTAGTTGGAGTAGGCTTCATTGGGAAAATGACATTGGAGCAAGACTAGAAAACATGAGAAGCTGAATCACATGGGTGTGGGGGAAGAGCAATGCAGAAAGAGGAAATGGAGACTGCAAGGACCCTGTGGTAGGAATGTGCCTGGTGTCTTCAAAGTCCAGCAACAAGGCACAAACTGAAAGTGGTATGAGGAAGAGAGAGACAGAAGATGACAGAGTAAGAGAGGAACTGGAGAAACAGAAAGTCTTAGGGGGAAATAGGCAATTTAAACTTTGACATACTAAACTAGAGAAGCCTGAGCGGAGCCCAAGAGGTGACGTCCAGGAGGCAGTGAAATATGCGAATCTGAAGTTCAGGGGGAAAGGTCTAGTCTGGAGACCGTCAGCTCAGAGAGCAGGAGAAGCCAGGAAGATGGGGTGAAATCACCAGGGAAGTACATTGTAAATATTAGAGAGATTCAAGGACTAGAATGTGGAAAGGTCAAAAAAGATGAAAAGGAGGTGGAGAAGAAGTAGCCAGTGGCAGAAAATCTGGGGCTGTCGTGCTTTAGAAAACAGGAGATAAGGATTTGTAGCCTGCTTGTCCAAAAGAAACCTCGGTCACTGATTAATCTTATTTTGGGGTAGTAAAGAGGTGGGGACTTAACTCTCCAGGGGCCAGAGTGGGAGAGGAGGACACAGTAAAGACAGTTGTTTCTGCAAGCTCTAAAAGT